GCATAACAGCAATAACGCCTATATCAACCAAGCAAATTTCTTACATGATATCAATCGTAAAAAAGACTGCGAGTTATCTTATAAGATATCAGCCGTAAAAAGACTGCGAGTCTCTCGAGAAAAATTAAAAAGTTTCAATTTAAAAAGAAAATAACTCCTGTTCCCTGCTGTTCAGTAATAATGTATTCAAGAGCGAGGTGTTTTGTGGCAGTTCAGACATTGCAGTAGTTCCAGTTTGTCGCGACCGAACGCATTAAAAATAAAAATATATTTACGAGTTCGTAACTCCGTCAGCCAATCACAGACGGCTTTTACACCTAAACCCACCAATCACATGCAGGCGAGAAATCGGCTGCTACGTGTACTTAGGCCGCTACGTGTACTTAAACCGCTACGTGTCCTAGACTGCCTTAGGCTTTGTGTACTTATTCTGCTACATAATTAAATTATTCTGCTACGTGTACCTAGGCCGCTACGTGTACTTAGACTGCTTTGTGTACTTATTCTGCTACATAATTAAATTATTCTGCTATGTGTACTTAGGCCGCTACGTATACTTGGGCTGTTACGTGTACTTAGACTGCTTTGTGTACATATTCTGCTACTTGTACTTAGGCCGCTACGTGTACTTAGACTGCTACATGTAGTTGAGCAAGTTTTGATAGTATAGGACCTCTGCTTTCCACGACAAAATTGTCCGTTCAACAGCAATTGAAATTCGCTCGTTTCTAGCGGCTTACCTCGTTAAAGAAAACCTTGAGCGCAATGCACCACATAAAATGTCTCATCGGCCGCTAGATATCGTTTCGAAATCATTCCGCGAATTCAATACTCCAAAATTTACTAATTTTTATTTTCATTAATTGATTAATTTTAAATTTTTACCTGAAAAATGTCATAACCTCGTATTTCCTTTACATTTTCAATACTTTCATCGTGATTACTCGCCATAAATGAGGATTGAGGTGAATTATTAAGTCACAATACAAATTTAAATGCATAATTCTACAGTTAAAAATTAATGTGTCTGTTCGGTGATGAGGTTGCTCAGCGATGTCTGAAAAATCCCGTTATGTTACTGTAGACTCCGAAAAATAAACGGCTCATTTGTCTAAATGGTGACACTTTCTGGGCGTAGCACTGATATACCCTTATGCCGGGCCAAACTGTGTCAGGATGACCCATACAAAAGCGACAAGTGCATCGCTATTTGGACAAAATGTCTTCATTTCTGTGAGTGTTTAGAATACATTTCAGATTCTGTAAGCCTTGAGACTTCAGCCTAGGAAGGCCAACTGAACTTTTCCCGAAAGGAAAAGTGAGTTTTTTATTATCAATATTTTATTATTGGTAAAGATTACCTGACGAATAATTTAGACGCAGACTAATTATTAGAAGGTGAAGGAACCTTGGAAAGGAATACAATTTGCATCATTCCGAGAACTAATTTGGCCATACATTATCCACTTGTTGTTTTCATCGCAGGAAAACCACTCGTATTCATTGCTTGGGAGTTCATCGCCGTTCTCTTCTTGGTCCGACGAACTCGAGGAACTTGCTGCTGCTGCTGCTGCTGCTGCTGCTGCTGCTGCTGCTGCTGCTGCTGCTGCTGCTGCTGCTGCTGCTGCTTGATTTGACAGAGATTTGAGTAATTTTTGGTCCAAAATTTTACTGTTGTATCCTATTTACTTATATTATGTACTTATTTCCACCAAAATTTCAATGTTTAATGCTTCCTCTAACTTGAAAATGAATGTTTGTTGCATTCGAAACGTCGTTAATAAAGAAAAACTACTTCCTGAAACTTGCCTTTTTATCTGCCGTCATCTGAAGAAAAGTTCCACTCCCTGATAATATAAGTCAACTAATTCTCTGGTCATCAATCGCACGTGTATAGACTGCTTTGTGTACTTATTCTGCTACGTGTACTTAGGCCGCTACGTGTACTTAGGCCGCAACGTACGTGTACCTAGACTGCTACTCGAGATTGAGTTTTGATAGCGAGACTCCTGTTTTTCACGACAAAATTGTCCATTCGACAGCAATTAAAGTTTGCTCGTTTCTAGCGGCTTGTTTCGTTAAAGAAAACTCTTCGAGCGCAAACGGGGATGGCGGGGAGCGCGGAAATGTCTCATCGATGGCTAGAAGTTGTTTCGAAATCATTCCGCGAATATAAGAGACCAAAATTGTGGTAAATTTTCAGTTTTCACCTGAAAAATATCGTAACTTCATATTTCCTTTACATTTTCAATACTTTCATTGTGATTACTCACCATATATGAGAATGGAAGTGAATTATTAAGTCACAATACAAATATAAGTGCATAATTCTACAGTAAACAATTAATGCGTCTGTTCGGTGATGAGGTTGCTCAGCGATGTCTGAAAAATCCCGTTATGTTACTGTGGACTCCGAGAAATAAACGGCTCATATTGTCTAAATGGTGACACACTCTCTGGGCGTAGCACAGATATACCCTTATGCCGGGCCAAACTGTGTCAGGATGACCCATACAAAGGCAACAAGTGCATCGCTATTTGGACAAAATGTCATCATTTCTGTGAGTGTTCAGCCTACATTTTAAGTTCAGTATAACAGAAAAGTGAGTTTTTATTATCAATATTTTATTATTGGTAAAGATTACCTGACGAATAATTAAGACGCAGATTAAGCATTACAAGGAGAATAAAAAACAGTGATCGAATGGCTCGTATTAAATACAATGACTTAAATTGAACTAAAGTTTCAATTCGAATAATTTCATTTGATATGATTTCAATTCTGCGATGTTCAGAATCGGCGACAGGCCTACGGCCTAATAAACGCTGAACCCGCTATTTATTTATTTATTTAAAGAACAGATTTGGCTTCTAAAATCACAAAAATCATACATGTAAATGAGAAAAGTATTGTTGCCTAGCCTGAGTTAATAATTTCAATGCAATCAATCACACTTACAAATATCGTAATTTAAATTAAAATAAGCACATTATAACTTCGGACGACAGTTACACCAATAGCGAAGCATTAGTTGCTTCACGACAACGCATTTGTCCTGGAGGCACGTTTACGCGCCTCCGGACTTAGCATATAGTATTTGTACCTGAACCTGAAGACAGGGATTTGTTGACTAAGTTCGTGAAGGATAAGTAAGACTCCATCTTCATAACATATATAAATATAATATATTATAATATAATACAATATAATATAAAATTAAAGGGTAGAATAGAATAGAGGTGTCGTCACAGCAGTAATAGGCCCATGGCCTGTTACCAATTCTCTTACTTTTCATCACTTCTGTTCAGAGGAGATCTAAAAATCGGCCTTTTTAACATGGGCTTATATATGTAGGATCGTTTCAGTGTTCGCATGGAAAATGTGCCAATATATTAGAAATGTTGGGATAAATCTCTGGAACATCATAGTTTTATTTTAACATTAGACTCTATATAATATTTCAATATTCTTCCTTATTTGGAAATAATCCTAAAAAATTTCACTCGTTTAATGTTGTTTGTTGTAAAAACATTGTTATAAACTGACGTCTGACGTTTTTTTGGCTGCACCGTTTCAGAAAATGAATAAATGCTAAACTACAGAAAATTATATTCCAATTCAGGTTTTGTTGTCGCTCAAGGGTGGGCGAGTGGTTATGATCAGCAAAATTTGAGCAATGAGTTGTGGGTTCGCAACCTGCAAGCAGTTGTGAAATTTCTAGTTGAGATCGGCAAGGTTATTCCGATCTCTAATCTTACATTTCTACACAAGTATATACAAGTGTATATAATAATAGCGGGTTCAGCGTTTATTAGGCCGTTTAAAATGTCGACGATCCTAAACATTGCGAACATTCACAGTTTGTTGCAATCTCGAACACGCAACTCACTGCTTCAATTTTGCTTTGCTTAACCGCCCGGCTTCATTGCTGATTCTGGCCATAAACTGTCGCAGGTAGCTGAGATCGAACCAATACCTCTCTACCACAATCTTGGTACTCTAAACTATAGCCACTGGGCCATCCTGTTTAAATATATTTTTATATACTGATATATTTATCGTTTTCCAGGAGAGAGAGGGTCGTGAAAGGAAGACATCACGGGGAAAATGTGAACGAAATATAACGCTACATCGCAGAGCAAATTACAGCCAAGATGCCGGACCTGAAATTTTCCTACGAGTGATGTTCCAGAATAGAATAGAAGTGTCGGCACTGAAGTACAGTGTTCGCATAACGGTTAAACGAATTTTTCGTGACTTGATTCACAAGGGATCCAGCCTTATGAACCCGTGGTCCGTAAGGTGCTAGGCATGTTAAGACTGAACATATGCTCCTGCATAGCTTCGTCAAGTCGGTTCTTGAAGGCGTTCATACGCGGAGCGTCAACGATTTCAACTCCGTTATAATGATAACCATGAAAATTCAATCACAATTTATTTAATTAGGCTCCACCGATCTAATATTATAACTTTATTATCATGAGATCGGGAGGTCCGGGTATATTAGCACGAATAGTATAATTCCATACAATTGTTAGTTAGTCATTGCAATCATAATATAAGGATTAGATAATATATTATCATAATAATTATTGCTTGTTAATCACCATATAAGTAATTCACACTCCTTAACATAACATTTTTTAAAGTTTGNGTGCAGCTGTCTCTTATACACATCTAGATGTGTATAAGAGACAGCATGGTATCGTTGCGTGGTGTAAATATATAAAAGTTGAGAACTAACGCAGATCGCTCGCATGTAATCCTCTTACATAAAGAGAAGTGTAATAAATCTGAATCACCATTTTTCACACCTGGTGAGTCTTCCAGAAAAAATAAATCTCCTAACCCTCCTCTGAATGCGCATAAATTAGGAGAAAGTCGAACTTTGCTTTAAAGTGTCATTTGCAAAATATTGATCCCACCTTGCTTCATTTCATCCGACGAAACAAATCTTTCAAATGAAGTTATCATTGTTTTTACTGTTTATCCTTTACTCGCTTGCTTGGCATATAACGAGCGTGACCTCTCATCGCGATCATGGGAACTACTGCGAAGGCCTGCGTTGGGAAGCTGTAGCGGAAATTTAGTCCGCTGAAGTCCCTCCTACTTCCTTACCGACTTCATCAGCGAAAAAGCCCCGTGAAAGGCGTGAGGATAATTCGGCCAGCAACTTCAAGAACATCCAAAACTCCTTCCAATGTGGATTTCTCTTCAACCTCTTCCGCCTTTGCTCGTTCTGCAGCCTTTGCTCGTTCAAAGGCGCGTTCTTTCGCCTCTAGTCGTTCTGCCGCCTTTGCTAGTTCAAAGGCGCGTTCTTCCGCCTTTGCTCGTTCTTCCGCCTCTGCTCGTTCTTCCGCCTTTGCTCGTTCTTCAGCCTTTGCTCGTTCAAAGGCGCGTTCTTTCGCCTCTAGTCGTTCTGCCGCCTTTGCTAGTTCAAAGGCGCGTTCTTCCGCCTTTGCTCGTTCTGCCGCCTTTTCTCGTTCAAAGGCGCGTTCTTCCGCCTTTGCTCGTTCTTCCGCCTTTGCTCGTTCTTCCGCCTTTGCTCGTTCTTCCGCCTTTGCTCGTTCTTCCGCCTTTGCTCGTTCTGCCGCCTTTGCACGTTCAAAGGCGAGTTCTTCCGCCTTTACTCGTTCTGCCGCCTTTGCTAGTTCAACGGCGCGTTCTTCCGCCTTTGCTCGTTCTGCCGCCTTTGCTTGTTCAAAGGCGCGTTCTTCCGCCTTTGCTCGTTCTTCCGCCTTCTGGAAAAAATGTTGCTCATTATAATTACCACGTCATTCACTTCCTTCGGTCAATTTTTTGGACCACAGTTATTGAAGTATTTTGAAATATCGTGAAAATTAAAGGGATATTATTCATGAGAACACGTTCGGGCTTTGCAATGCTACTCTCATAAAAACAATGAAACCTTAGATAGCTACAAATATATGGAAGAGTTGATAAATTCCTATTCGAACTAGATTGTCGCGAAGCTTTTCACGTATAATTCTGCTGTAAATTAAGATTGTAGAGATAAATGATAGCGAGGAGACAGCATTATGGAGGTAGAGGATGACAATCTCGGAGCAGATAACTCAAGTAGACGGTGTGCTAGCAACAAAAGAATGGAAGTCGTTACTGATGCACCTAAACTGCAAATAGTGATTTCTGATCGAGTGTTGATTATTTCCATATTTTTGGTAATAACAATAAAAGCATGAGAGCAAATAATTGTTTCAGCGCGGTTGTGCCAATTTATGAGGCGGGAGAAGGTGGTTCAGAATTTGAATTAAATAATTATATCAACGTTGCTTTTCGAGGTTTAACCATCGCTTAACTATAACCAAGGCAAAAACATGTTCAATCACGACAGTGATGCAATGTGAGATTTCTGCGAGTTGTTTTTGATGATGATTGATGAGACTCAAGTTTCACCATATTTCTTCTGGGAGGGTAGGTTAACTCGTCGTCGGGTTTAACTTGTTTTGGAGATTATCTCGTTCAATTATACGATCAGTTGCACGTATAAGCAGTTATAAGGTATAAATACGATGGAAATCGATTTCTTTATTAGGCTGGAGAAATTCAGCCAAACTGCTCATCACTCTTTTGAAACTGTCCTGAAACTGGACGTGGACCTTGCATGCAGGCTTATACCTGTCTCTTATACACATCTAGATGTGTATAAGAGACAAGCTTCATAATCTTCAATCTTTCTTCATAAGACTTGCCCTTTAATCCTGGTATTATCCTTGTTGCACGTCTTTGAACACTCTCAACTAAATTTCTGTCCTTTTCAAGTCTCGGTGACCACACAACGTTTCGAAACTCTAGGTTCGGGCGCACGACAGAGGTGAACAACAGCTTCATCATTCCTATATCTAGGTGCTCGTAGGAGTGTCTGATCAGCCCAAGCTGTTTATTGGATTTATTAACTTGTGTTTCAATATGCCTAGAAAATTTTAGCTCCAAAACTGTTGACCCAAACTCCAAGATCTTTTTCCACGCAAGACTTCTCAATCATAACCCTCTCGTTGCAACCGTGTCTTCTCATGCTGTAAGCTTGCTGTTCATTGTTCTTGCCGAGGTGAAGTACTTTACACTTGTCAGCATTGAAACGCAGCTGCCACGCATCAGCCCAGTCAACTAAACTATCAAGATAATTTTCTTAACTCTTATAACTCTTAAATATTTTTCCATTGTCGACTTCGACATCATCACTCTGTCGTTGCAACCATGTCTTCTCAAACTGTAATCTTGCTGTTCATTATTCTTGCCGAGGCGGATTATTTTACTTTTGTTAGCGTTAAAACGCATGCAGCTGCCACTATCAGCCCAGTCAACCAGCCTGTCAAGATCACCTTGTAACTGTACTTTTTGCGAGGTATTCTTCACTGTATTATAAACTTTTGCCTCGTCAGCATACATCGAGCACACGCTAGACACAGCTTCTGGCAGATCGTTTATAAACGCAACAAAAAAAAAAAAACAGGCCCGAGAACGCTTCCTTGTGGCACGCTCCTGCGCACTGAACCCAGTCTGATACGGACCCATTAATACTGACACACTTTCGTCTTCCTACTAGAAAATTTCTGATCCATTTGAGTACATTACTCTCAATTCCTAATGACTGCAATTTCCGCAACAGCCGCTCTTGTTGGACACTGTCAAATGCCTTGGCAAAATCGAGGTACACTGCATCTACTGACTCCCTTTCTTCCAGCAGGCGGGTTCATTTATTCAGAGTAGACAAGAAGTTAGTGTCGCAGGATCTACCGGCAATAAAGCCATTTTGACAGTCTGATAGGAGATTATTTACAGTCAAATGATCGATCAATCGATCCCTCACAACAGATTCCATTACCTTGCAAACGACCCT